GACTAGAGATTATCAATATTCTAAGAGTTTTTGTCACTATGCTCATTAATTTTGGTTAATAAACAATGAACGCTTCGTAATATCTCTCCTATATATAATTTATGAGATATTTAATGAGCACAGGAATAATTTTACAGCGGCGTACGGCAGCCACTAATTTGTTGACAAAACTAATTGACAGGCGCTGTTCCAATAGAGTCAATATTTTTACATACTTACTAGTGATGTGCCGATCGGATCGTTAAAAATATGTATTTGTAGATATGGATACAAATACGGATCATTAGTGTCAAAATACGGATTTTTACTTTTTAACGTAATGTTTAAGGTGCAATATTGGTAACTTTATTTTCACACCCTTAGAGGTGAAATAGGAGCCTTGCAAGGTAGGTGATCATAATGTTCAAATATTTAATTTTTACAATATAAATATACCAAATATGTAATTTTAAAAGACAGAAATTGAATTGAATGGAATATAATAGTATTTTATTGCTGCCTCTTTTATTTACACATTAGGTACTTAGAAATTAATATACGCAATGAAATTAAATAAAATTAAAGATAAAATCCGTCCATAAATAACAAATATATATATGGATATCGGCGCAGATCTTTTTTTTTCTCCGCAAATACTAATACGAATAAATAAAATAAAAATATTAGGCACATCACTAAAGTTGATGTTACTCAGTATGATGACATGGCTAGTATTTCGATGGGAAATTAAATTTAAAAACGACCCTTTGCTCTTACATTCAAGAATCATAATTGAATTAAACTTATTTAAACATATTAAAAAAAATTAACTAGTAGCTGGATATGGTAAAATTTTCACTTAAGTATGCATATTTATAATCAGTATAAGAACTCGTATGTTGATATTGTTAATTGGATTTCAATATTTATATAAATATGGATTACTAAGTAAAGATAATGTAGGTACATGTTTACGAATGAGTATCTGACAACCTTTAAATTGTAGGTATAAAACAATAATAATATTATATATATTATGATAGATGTTATTCTAAAAATATATAATATATATCTAAAAACAATTAATTGTTTGTTGTTCACTAACAACAATTTATATTGTTGTCAGAGTAGTATAAACAGTGCACTATGTCCTTATTCACCGAAATGTTACGTCTATTCGAAATGTTATATTGTTTAGTTGTGTCAGTAAAGCATATAGAATTGACAAACAAATATGTAATTATAATTACTTAGAAACTTTTGATTTAGAAGCGTCAACATCATATGCAGCGTTAACTGTCTGCTGTAAGGAAGGTTTTGCCAGTACTTGCCACGATTAGCAGATAGATTAGCAACCGCAATTGGGCTTTGGTGAGGTTTTCGGATTAGAATATTTGTAACAAATAAAAAGAATTTACAATAACAAAAGTATGGGAATTACCGTCTGGTTATAAATTAATAAACATGATAATAAGCTGGTAAACCGTAAAAATATTGTTATAGTAAAATATTGTTAATATTTATAACTCATACGCAACAGGAAACTATTTACGCTAAGCTCTACTTAGCCTCTTTATGAGTTTATAATTCTTGGAAAGTTAGAGGCGCAAGCTGAAAACTAGTGCTATGGTATGCATAACCACAGCTAATACTCGGCTTTTGTCTATCTAATTTGTGTTATACATAGTAAACTATAAATAATAATTAAATGATCAAACGAACTTACCTAAAGTGAAGTTCGATCAAAATTATCTTGACTTCGTTGAAGAGATTTATCTATGACCATGTAGTAGCCTCGCTACGCTGCAACCCTTCGCACAAGCATTCAGAGGGTAGGAATAAAAACATAATAATGACATTGCTGTCACTCTCCTATGCCGACACATTCCGACCCAGCCTCATTCTATTTAGAGCATAAGGTAGTAACTGCTAGCAACATTGATATTAATTTGGGTTTTATAAGCAGAGGTGGGAGGGACCTTAAATCTCTTCAACGAAGTCAAGATAATTTTGATCGAACTTCACTTTAGGTAAGTTCGTTTGATCATTTAATTATCTTGACTTCGTTTTCGAGATTTATCTATGACCATGTAGATGTTCAGAGGTTTTTATCAATGTTGCAAAAGAATTAAATAAATTAAAAATAAATAAAAAGTAAAAAACAAAATTTAATCAGTGTGTACATTTCTTTATTATATCCTAAATAAACTGAAAATATGGTTATTATTATCTAATTAATCAATAAGTTAGAAGTGGTATCAATAATTGGCCTATTATAGAAATTGGCAAATACTGCTGATTGGTCAGACCAACCAGCAACCTTACGAATGACATCGACACTTAGGCCTGCACGTGAAGCGGCAGAGGTAGAAGCGTGCCTTGTACTGTGGGCACCAAATATGGAAGTATCAATGCCACTCTCTTGAAGAGTTAGTTTTATCCAACGCCCTAACGTCTGAGATGAGACGGCTTTATATGGTTTCCTACTAGTTAAAATTAAATGGTCCACATCATTAGGTCTTACAAAAGAAGTTGATGCTACATAAAACTTAAGTGTGGCAGCTGGGCAAATACTAGGTCTAGAATTAAAAAACGGTAGATTCAATACCGGTTGGCGACGACCAATACCTGAAGTTTTAATTAAATCTGATATAGCTATAACTATGCGGTCATTGTAATAAGTAATGTTTGAAATTTTTATCAATGACAATGTTTGCGTTCTTTGCCCAGTTGCCAAAGCTAACAGCATCACTAGTTTTTTGCTTAACATTTCTAAATTAATCGAATCGTTTGAGAGATTGGCCAAATGATTAAGTACAATGTTAGTATCCCACGTAACAATATAACGGGGGAAAACGGGTTTCAATTTGAAAATACCCTTGAAAAACGTTTTATCTTTTCATTATGACCAATATTATTACTAGAAATTAAGGAAATAGCAGATCTATGATTATTTAAGGTTCCGTAGAATGACCCTGATTGGAAACATTCTGTCAAAAAAATTAGCAGGGAACTGAGATTAACTTCATAAAAATCACAATGATTCTGATTACAATATTCCCACCATTTTCTTAGACTGGAATTATACTGCGATATAGTATTCCGAGACAAGGAAGAGATCATAACATCTACAGCTGCTTTTGGTACTCCCTGCTTGGAAAATCCTTCCCGGATAACACGCTCGCTACCAAGAAAAGTTGACCATGTAGCGGGTGAACTGAACTGAAAGTAGAGATAAGGAGATATTTATTAGGTCTAAAAGTTACAGATTTCGTTACAGATAATGATTTAAAAAGGGGGTACCAAGGCTGTGATGGCCATTGTGGTACAACCACTATGCCTGTAGCTCTATCATGTATAATTTTGTTTAGTACCTTTAATATTATAGCGAAAGGAGGAAATGCATAGAAGAAATAAGTAGACCAGTCCAAAGTAAAAGCGTCAATATTATAAGCATCGGGATCTCTTTTCCACGATATGTACTTAGGGCATTTAGTATTAACACGAGATGCAAAAAGGTCTATATCTGGTTTACCAAATGTATATACTATTTCTGAAAATGCATACGACGCTAATTCCCATTCAGTATCAATATTTAGGTTCCTCGATTCTCTATCGGCTTCAGTATTTAATGTAGATTTAATATATGAAGCAAAAATGAATATTCTCCTTTCCTCGCACCATTTCCATATTATATTTGCAATATGATTTAAATGCGGGTATTGAACTCCGCCCATCCTATTAATGTACGAGATCGCTGTTGTATTGTCGACACGCAAAATAATATCACAATCTTTTTTTGTGTTAGCGAATGATTTCAGTCCGAGATAAACGGCTAGTAATTCTAAATAATTTATGTGGTTAGTACGCTCAATGCGAGACCACAAACCACCAGCCTTCTCATTGTGACAGGCGGCACCCCATCCTGTCAATGAAGCGTCAGTAAATAGTTCCATTTCATATTTATGTTGTCTAATACGATTACTAGCTATTAGAATATGATTTTTCCACCATATCAAATCATCGTGCAATTTATTTGGAATAGCCATAAAAGCATTGTAATTATCTGCATTACGCTGAAGTGCCATATATTTAGCTCTTTCTAGTGACTTCGTATGTAGCCATCCATAGGAAATGGCAGGACATGCAGCAGTAAGGGAACCGAGAACTCGCGCAAATTCTCGAATGCGTATAGATTTAGTAGTGAGTAACATCTCTAAATTTTTGAGTATACTATTTCTTTTTCGATCGGGTAATTGCAAAGTCATCGACTTGGAATCGAGAACAAATCCTAGGAAAGTACACGAAGTACTTGTTTTCAAACTACTCTTTTTATAATTTATTACAAAACCTAAGCTTGTAAGGCATTCTTTAGTATTACTTATATTATTCAAACAAATCGCTTCCGAGTCTCCTAGTAAAAGTATATCATCCAAATAGCGTACTGATTTAAAACCACGAGCTCTTAAGTGAGTCATAACGGGCTGTAAAATTTTTGTAAATATGTAAGGCGCAGAACATAATCCAAACGGGAGTGCAGTGAATTCGTATTCCTTCAAAATAAAATCGTAAATATTTTTTATGGCTAGCATGGATTGGGACTAAAAAATAAGCATCCTGCAAATCAATATTGGCCATAAAAGACCCTTCAGTTATTAGTTTTGTCGCCGTCCTAATATCTTCCATCTTAAAATGTTCGACACGAACATATTTATTTAATTTTTTAAGGTTCAATATAAACCTCATGCTACCGTCACTCTTTGGCACTAAAAATATGTCAGATAAATATTGTCCCTTAACAGGATTGCATTTTTGTATGGCCCCTAATTTTATCAAATGTTGAATTTGTTTTTTAAGTGCAATTCGTTCATTAGAACAAAAAATACGTTTTGGATATTCACTTGGACTCTGTTCTGGTATAGTAATAAATGGAATTGAATATCCTTGAATAGAATTTAAAATAAAGTTATCGCTTGTAATTGAACGCCAAGCGTGTAAAAAATATTTCAAGCGACCTGCATATACCTGAGATTCTGTATTTAATTCCGCGACCGATCGGCTGCTGGTCGCGGCTTGTAGACTGGTTGGCGCCGCGCTGGCGGCGGCGGCGGTGGTTGCGGACGGCGACTGTGTGGCGCCGGTGCGGCGACTACACGTCGCCGATTCGCATATGAAGTTTTGTGCCCACCGGCTCGTTGTTGCGAGTTGGTTTGACTGGCGCACTGACGTGGTCGAGCCGATGGGCCCCTGAAGTTTAAACCAGAGCTGGAAGAAGAGGCTGTAGCTTGAATTAATTGACTAGTCTTCTTAATTCCTCGAGATTCCTTCACTACTTCAGATAAACTCTCTCCGAATAAGAAAGTATCTCTCTTCCGGTTTTTAAAAGTATCGGCCAAAGATTTGTCTACTAATGGAATGATGACTGACCGACGGGTGTCTGTTTCTGCGTAGTGGGAGTCTGCGATAAGTTTTCCCGTATCGCTCAATATGCGAATAACTTCGGATATAACAGGGTCTTTCTTTAAAAGAGCCGTCATGGCCTTTCCTAGGGCTGATAGTGCACGTCCGAGCTGATCTTGTTTACAAATCAAACGTTTATCGCGGAGACGGCAAGGCTCAGGAAGCATAGCATGGACCTCTGGGTTTAGAGTGGGTGCCTTTAAGAACGGCAAATTTTTAGGAAACAGATATTTCTTTATAAGTTCTTCTCTATTTTCCTTTCTTAAGCCCTCTATTAAAATTTTTGGGAACCTTGTTGCTATATCTTTATATATTTCATCACCATATTCAGTAATTTCCGATTCATTTTCTCCTAAGGCTTGTAATAATTCCGAGTCAATGCATTCTGCGACTTCCTCATTATTCTCAGTTACAGTTAAGGGTACTTCCTTAGGAGGAAGGTCTTGGTACGAGTCAAGATCCGAGAAAATTTCTTGCTGTTCGCTTGAAATATTACCCACATTAAACAATTCAGTTTCTCCAGGTACCGGATGTTCTGGAAACGAATGTTACGTATTAATCCTCAAATTCACTAGGATTTCTTTTAATTTAAATAACAAACACGTCTCCTTCACTAACAATGATATTAAGTAATATTCATTGTAATAATTTATTTATAATAAACTCAATAACGAATTTTTAGTCAAGGAAAAAATAAAATAAAACAATATGTGGGTAAGTTCGATCGTGCAAAATATGCCAACGATCATAATTGATCCCGAAGAATACAACGGGATTAAAAAAATTATATCTCGAAGAATTCAACGAGAAATAAATTTGTGATAATAATCACCTTCGATATGTACATCATCTTCATCGCTGGAGTAAACAATACGCTTAGTGCTGGAGTAAACAATACGCTTAGCTTAGTACGACACTGTGTTTTAAGAAGCTTCGCTTCATATTTCTTCATTTTTCTTGACCAACGTTCCTCTTTCGATTCTTCGCGTTTGCGTTTAGGCATTTTTTTTTTTTTTTAGTTTTTTTTTTTTTTTTTTAGTTTATATATTTATAAGCTTGTGCAGTCGGCGCGAGCGCACGGACAAGAATGAGGCTGGGTCGGAATGTGTCGGCATAGGAGAGTGACAGCAATGTCATTATTATGTTTTTATTCCTACCCTCTGAATGCTTGTGCGAAGGGTTGCAGCGTAGCGAGGCTACTACATGGTCATAGATAAATCTCGGAAACGAAGTCAAGATAATAAACAATAAGCTTATAAAAATTTTGTAGGTAATTTGAATAGAATTATTTTGTTTAATTCCGCTACTGTTACTATAATGTGTGACTGCTAACGCTCGGAGATCGACCACTACATTTACCATCAGAAGTTCCACAACCTTGCATATTAGCCATCGATCTCCGATTGCCATTTTGTTCACACACGTTTTGCGATACGTGTTAAACCTTTAAACGAGGCATCTTCAGATAAATTGTTATAATTCTAATCATATAATCATGGGGGGAAGGGATTGTTAGCAATGGAGTTTGATAGCCCCATTGTTAGCAATTTGCCCTATTAGGTCGACCTCCACTTGGTTCCCCCTAGAAACCATCGTGAACAATTCTTATTGAATTCGTCACGATGTGCTAACTGACCTGCTTCATCCTCACCTATCATCCTTCACTGGTGCCCCGCCGGTGTATACCGTTAGCGCGGGTGGGGTTACCATTCCATTATCACCCATTAAAAATCAAATAACCAGTGATATGGATTTTCGCAAGATAACACCTACTTCAATAAAATATTAAGAAACATCTATTTATCCATCTATTTAAAAAAAATTGCTCATTGATAACAGTAGTAGGATGTAGTGTATCTATGAAGCATCTCGTATGTTCACGACTCAAATCACTTTTTTTGAGCAATATATATTTGTTTCAAAATCAATTGACTAAAATGATTGATAAAATGATAATATTAACAAACTAATAATCTTAAAAAAGTAATTATATGAAGATGAATGACATCAACCCATCAAGATGGAGTAGGGGTCGGTTGTTATAGATTGTCGTGGGTCGGGTCATGACCGGCAACCAATTGATATTCGGTGCGGTGTCTTGGAGCAGTAATACAATCTCTTTAGCGAAAATATGTATGTAAATACAATATAGGCAAAGATAATTTTGTTCTTCAGTAAACTGTGAGCGATACCTAAATATGATATAAAAATTCTAGTAGTATAAATTATTTTGACCTGCAGTTATTAAATTACATATTATATATTCTACGATGAATTTATTTAATTTTAACTTTTAGATTTACATACCATACGTTTTTTTGGTTTTATCTTATACCTATTTAAAAAAAAGTAAATTATCCTTTGGCAAGTAATGCATATCTTATTATTGCAAGTGACACTCATTTCTCTTAAACTCGATACCGATTTTCACGATTGTTTTATTAGTTTAACTTTCAGACGCAATGATCTTATGTTATTTTATAAAAAATAAAACCAAAGCTTTAGTAATTAGTCCTTTACATGTAAATGGAATTATTGCATCTCTGAAAATTATCAAAGATATTGAAGCTTAGGTTATAAAGTATATAGATTGAAAATATAAAAAAAAAAAAAAACAGAATGTTAGAGTGAGAGAGACCATAAGATATTAAGTTGCACAATATACCTGATTATAAGAAATACATGAATGCTTGTTATTTTTGCAATTTTAAATTCATATAAATTCAAATCAGTCATGCACACATTTACACAATACGCACACTAGTGTATTTTCTTGTCTCGTTTTTGTAATTGCACTGCCAGTTTGTCAATATGTAGTAATTTTTTTTAACGAATGAAAATTAAATAGTGGCCCCGCTTGCGCTATAGGTATACACTGGCACAGCACCAGCACGATGATAGGTAAAGATGAATCAGGTCAATTGGCCTGTCATAACGAATCCATTATTTTAATTAGACGTGATGGTTTCCGTGAGTCGACCTGTTATGGCATATTGCTAGCAATAGAATAGTGCTTTTTTATGGATGATAATGGAATGGTAACCCCGCCTATGTTATCGGTATACGGTGACGGGGCACCAGTGAGGGACGTTAGGTGAGAATGAAAGCAGATCAGTTAGCCCATCGTGATGAACTCCATAAGAATTAACCATGATGGTTTCCAGAGGGAACCGCGTGGAGGTCGATCTGACGGGGTATATTGCTAGCAATAGGGCTGTTAAGACCCCATTACTAGCAATGGCATAGTTAGAACCCATTACTAACAATCCTTTTCCCTCAAAGTACCTACGTATTAATTTACCAATCAAGTACCAAGGTCAATAAGGCAATGGTTCGCAATACTTTAAATCAATAGCAATGAGATGGTTAGCCCAAGGGAAATCATTTACTTTTGGGTTTATATAAATTAAACAGACAATAATCAAATAAAGAATCAAAAATTAATTTATTTACAAATGCGAATATGAATTATTTGTTGCGAATCTAAAACTACCAGAGGGAGATTTTGTACAAAAGTCGATTGCTTGGGTACCTCTGTCCCATTCGTGTTTCAACCGTGAAGCAGTTGTGTTTGCATGGCTGTGTTTCAGTTTGAGGGGTGGGATATGGCGTGAATTTACTGGGTACAGAGGAATAATACTTGAGTCCTCAGGAATGGAAACGCATAGGGGTATCATGGGCGAAACAGTATACTCTGTTATGTCCATGGTACTGCTCATGTCTATAGGCGACGGTTACCACTTTCCATCAGGTGGGCCGTCAGCTTGTTTGCCATTCTAAGTTGTATAAAAAAAATTGAGAAATAACTTCTCTAACATCATCATTACTACACCGCCATCACCGGCTTTATTGAAACCGTGTATTTACGTGCTCACCTCTTATATGTTTTAGTGCTTGTATATAGCTTTCGCCTGCAACTTTGTATGCGTGATAATAAAATATACTTTCTTAGATTGAATTCTAGATAATAACCTATTAAACAACAACATCAACAACAATCTAATAAATAATAAACAACAGAAACCTTATTTATTTATTTTTTAAATTGATGATAATGGAATGATTACTCCACCTGCGCTAACGGTATACATTGGCGGGGCACCAGTGAGGGGTGATAGGTGAGAATGAAGGCAGGTCAGTTAGCCCATCGTGATGAATACAGCAGAAATTCAGCACGATGGTTTCCAGGGGGGACCACTTGGAGGCTGACCTTATAAGGCATATTTCTAGCAATGGAACTAATAATCCGCATTACTAACAATCTCTTCCCCCCACCTTATCTATTTTCATACAGTAGTTTTTTCATAATACTGGAACAAACGTGTGTTTATCGATTTACATGTAAAAAAACTGGATCAATTAAAATGCAATTTTTGCATTATATTGAGCTAAATATTAGCCTATATATATGTTACAGAAAATTTAACAATCACCCCCTTAAAGAGAGTAATTAGATATTATCCCTTAATATGCGTAAAATATTGTACAATGCAAACGAAACTGCGGGCACAGCTAATATTATAGTATGACGTAATCAACAAAGAGTCCACTGAGAGATACCAGATAAAGTTCCATTCATGCGGAAAGCAGTGGATCTGTTCTTGACTGAATCAATCCACATCGTGCAAACAAACAAATCGATTCTCGATTCGTAATCGGATTGCATTGTGTGAATAATTCTCTTTTGATTAGTATTGTGTTATATTTAGATCACTATACATGCCTCGAGAAAATGAGCGTGATTTCGTAGTTTCTCTAGCAATTTCACGAAATCTCCAATACCGTTACCGTATTGTTAGTAACACGATCTACCCGTGGTCCTCCCTGGAAACTATCGTGCTAAACTCCAGGTGTACTCATCAAGATTAGCTAATTGAATTGCCTTTTCATTCTCACCTATTGTACCTCACTGGTGCACCGCAAGCGTATACTTTAATTCAATTATCATCCATTAAAAAACGACAAATGCTCCGATTCAAACAAACCTTTTTCGCTTCCTTCACATTCATCAACATATTCCTACAAGCTAGTATAAGAGTACTTTTAATGTACTTTTTACAATTTAAAAGTAAATATAAAGTATTTGTACCTATAGTAAATACAAGTTACAGGATACCAGGGTATAATATTACCACGGGCATCACAGTGGATACTGTGATGTCCATGCTGCTGTTCATGTCCTCTTACCAGTTTCTGTCATTTAGGCCATCAATTTGCATAAAAGGAAACATTTAGTAAAGTCCGACTTGAATAGTTTTAATATAGATTGAGTGTACTTGCGTCGTCAAACCCATCTATGTGGGGGAAAAGGAATTGTTAGTAATGGAGACTGAGAATCCTATTGCTAGCAATATACCCAACCAGGTCGACCTCCTCGCAGTTCTCCCTGGAAGCTATCATGGTTAATTCCTGATGAATTCATCATAATGGGCTAACTGGCTTGTTTTCATTCTCATCTATCACCCTTCACTGGTGTTCCACCAGCGTATCTCGTTAGCGCAAGTGGGGTTACCATACCATTTTCACCCATCAAAAAAAACCCATCTATGTGTAGCAAAAATGTCTACCACCAGTAAATATTCCATATAGACGTACCATACTATGACAATAACATGTTCCCAAAGGCTCGGGACAATGATGCCTTGATTGCTGTCATTACATTTTATGACATCGTTCGTATGGGCAAAGGAAGTGTTTTATTTTAATCACCGACCTATTTAATTTTTGTTTTAATATTACATGTAATAGCCGCTGTAGAGCGAAGAATTTTTAACTGGAATTCTCTTCCTTTTCATATCCTATATTCAATATTAGAAAGTGTTTAATATTGCATTATTTCATTTATTATAAACGTTAATAGACTTCAACAATTAGTCGATTCTTAATTAGTCTTTATTTAGTATGTTATGTAATATTTGTGCCATTAATTATTATATCAGCCGTTAACCGACTACTGTTAAACATAGGTCTCCTCTTTGGGGAGTTATCTTCGTCATTACTAAACCAATTTTAATAATTTTCTAACAATTGTTAGGGTTTACTCTGGCGGTAATCCCATATTAATTTTGTTATCATAAAATGCTGTTTTTGATTATCAAAATAATTGGAGGACCTATTAAGAGGGGGACCAACTCATCTAGACAAGGTACAAACGCATCTATTAACGGAATGATTTCGGTCAGCGTTTGCATAAGAATGAGACAATGCACGGCGCTATCTCATTCTAGCACTTGGACTCGAGCGATAACGATTCTATCAATAGATTCTATTTCACTTTGTTCAGAGGAGCTGGCACCTTTTATAATTTCTATATGTCTACTCTCAGTTCTCAGACATGTCTTTAGATGTATC